GGGTGAGAATGCTCAACTGGTTGGGAGCAAAATTAAACATAAAAAGAAGTCGACATCACAGAACAGGAAATAGACGTAAATTCTACAAGCAAAATAAAATCACTGCTATTCAACAATGAAACACCATGGTGCGAACGAAACTCAAGCTCGCAATTTGATGTAACATTGGAAGTTATGATGGTGCCGAGACGTGTGATGTAATAGGTCTATTCATTCTAACCGATCTAAAACTCAAATATGGATCATTGGATTATATCGAGATGATGGCCTGGTGGCTTTCAATGAAACACCCAAACGAATTGAGCAAATAAAGAAGGATATATGCAAAACATTTGGTAAGCACAAACTAAAAATCACTATTGAAGCCAACTGAAAAGTAATAGACTACATAGATATCACACTTAATCTCAACAAGGAAATATTTAAGCCATATGAAACCCCAACAACACACCACTCTATGTGCACAGCCAGAGCAACCACCAACCTTCAATAATACGCAATATACCAGAGGCGATTAATGAACGAATTTCTAATATATCATCAAATGAAGAAGCTGTACCACCATACCAAGAAGCACTCAGAGCGGATATGACCACAAGCTTAAATTTGAACCAACCCGCAAAGGAAACCAAAACAAACAAAATCGACAACGTAAAATCATCTGGTTCAGCCCACCATATAGCGACAATGTTTCAACCAACATAGGCCATATAAATTTCTATATCTATCATTGATTCATCATATCCGCCAAACCATCCACTCAGAAAAATATTTAACCGGAACTCTGTTGAATTAAACTGTTGTATGCCCAATATAAAACAGATAATTTCAAGCCACAACAAGACGCTGCTACAAAAAGAAACAGAATCGACCACACAAACTAATTGTAATTGCAGGAGAAACTTAAGGTGCCCATTAGATGGAAACTGCTTAACCAAAGGAGTTATATACTAAGCGACAGTTACTATACGACAACCAAACCAAAGAACAGAGCACACATTTAAAACCAGATGTAACGGACACAACAGCAACTTCAGGAACAAGTCCCAAAAAATGCCACAACCCTCAGCCAATATATTTGGACCCTTATAGATAACTCTATCCTATACTCGCTAAAATGAAAAATCCTAGCAAAATGCAAGCCGTACTCTCCAGCCCCAAAAAAGGTGTAATCTATACCTAATTGAAAAGTATTTTATCATTTGTAAACCCAAATTAGGCACAGTAATTAACAGAAATGAATCGGTAACTTCATGTAGACACAGAAAAAAGCATCTATTGTTTAACAACTAAGCAATATTAACACCTCAGCTAAACAATAGTAGGACTGCAAGGAACCATAGCAATGTATATTCACCTCATCTCTTAGCTTACATTAAATTTGTAGTACTAAATACATATGGAATTCTTCTAAGTTTGTCTACTTTTTTTGTGTTAAAGGTTATTGTCCAAGATACATAATTAACAAAGTAAGTAAATATATTGCAGTATTATAATCTAATTGCTGTCTCTTATACACATCTAGATGTGTATAAGAGACAGTATATATATAATTCAAGTTCTCTGTTCTCTGAGTTTAAATCAAGATACAATTGCTTAGTTAATATAAAACATATAATATAATGTTAACAATAATGTAGGCTAGGTTAGACCTAATCAATTATTGATACAATAATGTCATCTATCGATGAAATGTTGGAGAGTTTTTACATAGTGAATTTGTTTGCTTTTTGACAATCCGCCAGAATAGTGCTAGGTTTGTGTTATTTGTTACAATCTGGAAAATAAATAAATGAAAATGAAATGAAAACATCCATTTTGATTAATTAAATGGCAGCTTTTGACTGGCAGTGTCGACAGAAAACTGCAGTTTCTTTGGCACCTGCGCCAGTGCCAATAGAAATGGGAGCTTTTTTTTTTACACTGTGGCAATGCCAAATAGAAAATAACAGCTTTTCTTTGCACTGTAGCAGTGCCGATAGAAATTTTCTGCTTTTTTGCACTGCGGCAATGTTGATAGAAAACAGTAGCTTTTTCGCACTGCAGCAGTGCCAATAGCAAACAGCAGCTTTTTTTTTGCACTGCGTCAGTGCCGATAACCTCAGCCATATTTTTTCCTGCTTAGATTGTCGTGGTCCAATAAAGAAAGTATTAAATTTTGGTGATGATCCGGAGTAGTTTGTGGATATGAGGATCATTCAAATGAAATCGTCCCTGACCAAATATTTCAGAAACTGATCAACTGATCTGAATAAAATGTTTCAGAAAAGTTTAACCAATTTACAAGGAAGAAATTATTCAATGTTGGTCACAATCCGAATTTGGATGTAGATGTCAGGGTCACTTTAAATGCTAACATGCCAGACCTAAATATCTCAAAAACTGACCAATGGACCAAAATAAAACTTAAACGAATGGCTCATCATGGTCCAGTAATTATACAATTTTGGAGATAATCCAGAGTATGGTGTGGACATGAGGACCATTTAATGATAGACATCCTAGACCAGATATCTCAAAAGTTGATCAACTGATGTGAATGAAACTGTCTGGAAACTTTAACCTTGTTACAAGGAAAGAATTATTAAATCTTAGTAACGATCTTAATTCGGGTTTTAATTTTACAGTCATTTAAATTGCTAAGGTCCCAGACCTAAGTTTGTCTAAAAAGTTATCAGTGGATCTAAATGAAACTTTCCAGAATAGTTTTTCATCGTCAAATGAAGAAATTTTTAAATTATAGTGACAACATGAGGACCATTTAAAGAATTTTATTGAATTTTTTTGATAGTCCTCATGTCTCCAATAGGATTACTCTTCAATTAGGTTTTCTTTCCTATAAAGCTGCTACAGGTAAAGTGCCTGATTGTCTTATAATGAGCAAAATTGTAATCCTTATCCCCACTTTCAATATTTTAAAAATGGATTTTATTACAAGGCACGTTCTTTCTTAATTCATTATCTTTACTTGATCTTACTGTTTTCAGTCTAAACTTAATATGTATCCTTTTTAAATGAAATTAGCAATTTATTGCATTTTAATAGTTTTATCTAGTTATATTTTTTAATTGGTATTCGTTTATTTCTAAGTTCAATGTGTTGTAAATCAATTTTACTTTTTTTAATTGTTAGTCACTGTTTTTTAATTCAATGAATTGCTCTTGCAATTTTGGGGTTTTAACTTTAGAATTAAATTGTTTTTTCTTGCAATTTTAATGATTTTAACATTGGAATATTTTATATTTTCTGAATGTTATTCATTGTAGTTAGGATTTTCTGTCTGTATTTTAAATTGTTTTAAAAGAGGGCCCTTTCAAGTCAGCATTGCTGTTAGAGCTACCCTCTCAAAATATTTTAAAATAAAATAAATACTAAATCCTTTACTTAGAATTACAAAAGTAATTTACAAAATCAGTGTAAACTTCATATGAATGTACAGTCATATCGATGTGAGTTTGTGTCAGGTATCCTATAATGTAGAGTTAAATAAAGTAAAAAAGCAATATCAATTGATAACAGGAGTTTTTCAGAGTTTAATTGAAAAAAAAAACTAATATAACATTGTGTAAAGTAAAAGAAAACTTTAAATGTAAGTTTGTTTTAAGGTAACAGAAGAAGATAATGACAAAAATTATGACACTTCTTTCAATAGATATGGAACCTCCAGTTTTATATAATTGTCCAAATGACACAGTTATTGGAACAGATACGGGCCTTGCAACTCGTAATTACAGTTGGACAGCACCAACAGCTGACGATAATGCCGATGATAATCCATGGATATCCTCAAACATCTATTCACCTCACGTGTTTGAAATTGGTGTGCACAACATCACATTTAATGCTACTGATGACTCTGCCAATGTTGCAACTTGTAGCTTTACTGTAGATGTCAGAGGTATGACAAAATTTCACCAATTTCATACTTAACCAATTTATAAAAAGTTTTTTTTTTATTTCCTTTGCATCCAACAGCAAGTACACTCACCACTTACAGGATGAGAATGATGCTTTATAAACTAAGTGTCTTTATGAGGCTTAAGGCCTGTTTATACTTCCTAGTGTAACAACTTCTCTTTTTCTTATATTTTCTATATGAACAATTGCTTTTTAGGTTTTTATCGTTATTGTTATCGTTGCAAGTATAAACAGGCCATTAAGGAGTGGAGTTGCTTTTAATTGTGAGAAAAAGCCCTGAGACCTTGGGACCAAAATGCAAGAATCCACTGAGCTATTCAACTCCGCTGTTTGTTAAAATTATATTTGATGTTAAGCAATAGAAGTATATTGAATGACATATTCACATCAAAATACTATTGATTGTTCCATATGAAAACAAACTGTAATGTGTGTTTCCGACCAACACTACTGAACTATCAACAAGTTGAACTCTGCAATTAGGCTTTAGCTGGATGTAATACAAGATTCTAAATTCTGTGTGATTATATTATGTGATAATATTGAGTTGAATGACTTGTTGATTAAGATGCTTGCCTTCCAATCTCAGGGTTCTGCGTTCAATTCTTGTCATGTGGTATCAAGATTTTTTCATGACTGGAACTCCGCTGGCCCAACCTAATCAATTACTTAATAATAATAATAATTCTGGATTCATGCTGTTACTATCCCATTTACCAGCAAACCCTTTAAAAGGGCATTCAGGCAGGTTGGTGAACCAGGTTTTGCCAGAATCTTATCTCAATAATCAATTAAACATCAAAGAAGAATACCTCTACTTAAGAGTCATTATCACAGCAGGCATTGCTGTTTCTCAATAAATTACCATTATAGTATTTAAAAACCAGGCTGGAAAATTTTAAAAACCTGTTCAAAAAAATTTGGCATTTTTATTTCCTTAGCTATATTTTCAGATAAAAATCATAATAGTTATGCTTTTGAATTTTAAAAATCAATGACTTATGTTAGAAGTTACAACATGGTTTTTGATTTAATTGTGCTAGTCTTCTTATGAACTATTCACAACTAATGAGCTGCACTGTTAATCTTGTTACAAAATTCCCTGAAGCAGTAATTAATATAGATAAGAAGAGATCAGCAAAACCTGGTTCAAAAATTGAAAATTTGGTAAATGGTGAAGTTTCCTCATGTATATAGCGCCTCCCGTTGACACAACCTCGAAGCGCTTGAACATTATTACCCCCGGATCACTGGATCAAGCACATATGGAACACACACTCAAGCCCCATAGGGGAATTCCTTAGAGGGTCTTATGTGTATGTTTGTCTTGAAGGGATTTTGTCACTTACTAAAGTTAGGTTTGCTGTTTGGTATGTCATGCCTAAAACATATAATAGAACTATAAAAAATAAATATATAAAGGTTGTATAGGAATACACAAAATGAGTATTTGATACTCGAAACCTGTTTGTTGGCACAAATAATAAAATTATATTAATGCTTTTTGTCACCAAAGTTAAAGGAATATAATAATTTGAGACTTTATACTATTTGACTTGAAGTGTGCTAAAAGTGATATGAAAATGTCATGTAGTTAATGTAGTATAGACCCTTTGCAATGTTTACATTGGCCCTAACTGAAACGCTGGCGGCGTACTACTTGGTAGGCAAAAGAAATACACAAAGATAGGCCAATTCCATGTAAAATGAGAAAGCTGGTTATATTTCTTTTTGTTGTGCCGAAAATACAAAAGCTACAGGGATAAAACTCACGTATGGTATAGTCAAATATAGGAATCTACAAAAAAATAAAATCTAAGAAAATTATGTTTTTTTTTTTTAATACTAAATTTTAAAGTCATATTCGTATTACAGAAACATTTGGTGAACATTATAGTTGTCTAAAAGTAATATTAAAACAGTTCAATGGATTGCGTATTATCCTGAAAAATGCGTTTTTCTTTTGTTCCAACTCATAGACGAATTTCTGTACTTTTTGTTGTCAGTGTTCATCGGGCCACGGGTAAACTGCAGTAGCGTTTCGTAGAAAGCTTTTTCGCGTTCTTGGCTTAGGAGCGCCCGCACATGGGAAGATCCAAAGAGATAAGACTTTACTTGGAGAGTAATTATTCCATTTATTCAAAAAAATGCAAAATGGTCCTCAAGGCTACCGTAGCCTCAATGAATGTGCAAACAGAAAATTCATAGGCCAATTCGAGGCCTTTCATACCGACGAAGGCAATGTTGTACTTCAAAACATTCCAAAGATAAGACGAAAATGACTTTGAAAATTAAATAAAAATAGAAAAAACATAATTTCTCAGATTTTTTTTTTTTCAATTAATAATATATTTAACTATGTCATAAGTAAATTTCACCTGTGTAGCTTTTGTATTTCTGGCACAACAAAAAGATTTTTGTGGAATTGGCCTATCTTAGTGTATTAAGTTGTGCACCAGCAGCGTTTCAGTTAGGTCGTGTTTATATTACACACTTGCTAGAAACACGGATCTGCCGTTACGTAACGTATTTCATTGCCCGCGGCCGATCCGTGTTAGGTTTACGTTCATACATGTAATCTGAACACGGATTAGACAGGAAGTGAAGTAGCTCGCGAAAAGCCTTGTGGGACGGAAGGTCGAAGTCAGCATGACATTTGTTTACAAAGTTTAATAATTTCGTCCTAACCAAGCCAAGTAACAAGAAGAAATGAGTTGGTACAGGGCAAAACATTGTATTGGATAGAAAAAAAAATCCATGGGAGGTAAAAAAACTATAGTTAGCACCCCGCGTCTCACGATAAATAGGCGGCTAATGGGGCAGATCAGAAGATTCTTGGCGCTAAAAAGATGTATTATTGTTTGTTCTAAGGATTAATTAAAAGATTAGTGTTTATAAAACAAAAGCACTGAAGCGGCCCTGTTGGTCAGAATCAAATGAAGAAGTGAAGGTAGGCCTAGTATAGGGTATACTGTAGGTAGACTGGCAGCACTCCGGCGCGTATCATGATGATTTCGGCGGATAAGAAAGCCTCGGAAAAGACTCTTTTCGTGAAAGGTATATATTATGCCTTCTCAGCAGTAAATTAAGATATAAAATTATTGCTTAATAACGGCCTTATGAACAATAATTATTTTCTTATATCATTCTGGTTGTAGGCCTATTATAAGCCCATCCCATCTTGTTAGCGCCTGTCAACAGCAAGAAAGCTATTGAATTACCACCCACTGTTTCAAGAGAGGTCAAACTTATGCCTGGAGGCTACAAGTTGGTACTTCCAACACGGCAAGTTTGGCGAGTTCGTCAAGTAGCCTTTTGTCCAGATGGTATTGTAATTACTCGTAATCCAGACCGTTTATACTACACACATCAGAGAAGCCGTGTTCGTCAATCCGTGTTCAGAGTGTAACATAAACGGGCCCTTAGACTTGCCACAAGTCTCTGATTATTGATTTTCCTATTATTAGCTAATTTTAGTGCCACCAGCATTGGTATATATTGAGAAACTTTTTATGCGAATTAGATAAAAAATATATATACTATGAAACGCTAGCAAATAAGTTATAAGAAATGTCATTGGTGCCAAAATCGATTTTTTTTTTTCCAGCTTTTTCACTGATTAAGACAAAGTTTAGAGACTGTAACCCAGTCTACATTTCAGTCAGGGCAAATGTAAACATTGCAAGGGGTCTATGTTTGACTTTATTAAAAAACAGTAATTGTAATGTGATGAAAAAATGTTATATCTGATTCTTTGTTAACAATTTTTTTCAATTTATTTATCCAGATATGGAGCCCCCATCATTTAATGGTACATGCCCTTCCAGTCCATTGGAGGTACCAACAGATATTGGTGAAATGTTTGCAACTGTGATGTGGAATATACCAACAGCAATTGATAATGTGAATGTGACTATGATTACTAACAGCAGTTATCCTGGTCTTCAAGTGTATTTCAATTTGAGCTCTTTGTATGATCTGAATGTAACATACATTGCGTTTGATGAAGCTGTAAATGAAGAATTGTGCAACTTTTTAGTGAAAGTCATTGGTAAGAAGGCTTATTACTGGGAACTCCATATCTATCTACATATAAATGCACAATGTACAGTAGAATTTTATAAGGGTAAAAAAACCCAACATTTTTTAAGACTACTTTTGTCACAAATAACATAGCACAGTCTTGTCCTCTGCACATATGCATTGGCATAAGGTCTTTATGGTGTTCAGGGATTTTGGGTAAAACATCATCAAGAGGTCATTTTTTAGTTCCTTTGTGACCTTAAGTTCACAAAGGAACTAATGGGGAAATTCGAACATGAAATGTATGTGTGTGTGTGTGTGTGTGTGTGAGCAGCAGGTTTGTAAACAAATAGGCTCCTAAACGGTGCCTCACGGTGGGTATAATGTTTTCCTCATAGTAACTGGTGGACATGTAGTTGTGCAAGAATTGTTTGTTTTTTATGTTAGATGAGAAATGTAGGACATACGCGATAAAACATATACCCCCTACCACCATTTTTGAGTCGTTTTTAGGAGAAAATTTTGATATGCGCATGCGTCGGAAAAACTTTGCCGACATTTTGTTTTTCATCGCGAGAGGGTAAGCGAGCTCCATAATGCATACCTTGTTGGTGTAGTTGACCAATTGTTTACGGGATTAGGCCTCTGTCGTGTTAATGTAGCAGGTGCATGCGTTATTAAAAAGGAAAAAAGTGATCTAACCAAACACGGTCTTTACATAATGGTATTGGATCGAACGTGTTTAATATTTTGCGGAAATTTTGTTTTCTATCGCGAGAGTATACAGTTTACACTAGAGAAGTTGTCTGTGTTTATGCGAACGTCTAGTCCCTACCGTGAACTTAGGTAGTTGTGGTAAAGCAACTACTGCTTGTCGTCTAGTAGGTGTAACGTGTGTTTTGGTAAAAATTAACGTGATCTGAACAACATTTTACATTATGGTATTGAATCGAATGTGCTTACCTACCTAAAGTCTTTTACACACGATGAACACGGCAATTGACGTTGCTGTTGGTGTGCAGTACGTACAAAACACTACGACGACGACAGCAGCATTTAGTCAGTCTTTTTAAAATAAAAAATAATATATTGGTCTACCACAAGACTACCATACAATTCAATAATCCGCGACAAAATAAAAATCAAGAGTATTTGTAACGATTGAATATGTAGCATAAATGCATTCTGTGAAAACCAGGTGTACAGTTAACTGTACTTCAAACACAGAAACATCGTTGAAATGAAATTCCTCTTAGGCCTATATATAAAAAAAAACGAAAAGAAAGTTGTGCAGAAAAAAACAAATTGTGCACAGTTACTGTACTTTAAACACAGAAAAACTTACGTGTTGTCAGTATTATGAAGTTTTTTGTTTACGACTGCTGTGTAATTTATCAGGTGAAGGGTATCGATTCCAATGGTTATGCAAGTTAATACCATTGAACCTTAATACTACATTACATCCCTTTCAATCAATTTTTTTTTTTTTTTTTTTTTTTTTTAACATTATAACATAAAGGTAAAATGTACTACAATGTGTAGTAGGCATAAAGCAATATAACAATTCATTAAAAAAAAAAATTAAATCGTTAAACTTAAAAATTCATAGCATATAATACAAGTGGTGCAAGATGAATACGTGTCAATTTCCATCAATTACTCATATTCACTCTCTCTTTCTCTCCGTTCTTTTCTTTTAAAATTACAAATGAATAACATTTTTGTTTTTAAAAAAAAAAAACAAACCCCATCTTAAACTACAAAAATAAACTTAACTACACTGATATGTAATTGGTCCGTAGATCATTGTAGTCATTGTGTGGGGGTATTGGCGTCTGATGAAAACCAATATGACTAAATGTCTATGGGGGGGGGTGGGATTCCAATCACAATATCCATTCATTATTAACTACAATTTAATCATGTATTCAAGGCAATGCGAAAAGAAATTGGCAACTGTACGTACCTTCCGTACAGTAGAGCATACTGACATTGGGAGTGTTGGCATCCCTGGTGCTCCAGGAAGAAATTTTTACCAACATGACTGCATGCTTTATGTCGGTCCCGGTAAATATAGGATCGCTAAACAATTGATTTAACGACCTAGCCTCGCATTCCCGAATTGAATAATGAAAAAATCCCAATTAATGAATGAATAATAAATTGAAAAATAACTGAAACAAAGTGAAAAACAAATAATAAATTTAAAAATCAAATTGAAATCATAAATCTGTAACATCTAGTCTTGCCATATCCGACGTGTACAATCAAAACTTAAACTACAAAGTAAATAAAAGCAATATTCAAATGAAATTCGCAACACTTTGCGACTAGTTGTTGAGATATGTCGGCCCGTCCATACGTATTTTAATTTTATATACGTTTCGTGTAGTCTTTCGACTCTACACCACCCTCAAGTGTGCTTTTCGTATGAATATTGAATATAATGTCAATGCTTAACTAAGAAATCAAAAGTAAAATGTTTGTCGTAAGAATGCGCGACAATCGTACATTTCGTTAAGAAACAAATTTTCCTCTAATAATCAATCGATATACATTTCTTATCGTTATCATTATTAATCCTAGACGTTTCATTACAAGTAAAATATTTATGTTAACAGATTTAAGAATAAAAATTGCGTTCTGTAACGTCTTATATTAGCAATCAGTTATTAACTAAGACAGCAACCATTTGGTTGTTTTTCTGTACATAATATTTTTAATTTACTTGCATGTTAAGACTCAACAAGTGATCAATCTTGTTATTTAATGTCTTATCGAAGTTAAGATTTAAAAATGTAATCTCATCTTAGTTATCATAAAACTAAACATTTCGTATTATGAAGTTGCAAACTCATAAAACAAATATAAATGAAATTAAAATCAAATATGGTAGTGTATGTTAAACAGTTATTCGAGATTCTATGCATAATTATAGCGGGTTGTACTCAGTAAATTGTGATACTGGTACTCAATAATCTCCTGTTTATATAATATACACTCAAAGTAGACTTTCATACCTTCGAAACTTATATGTAAATAAATGATCGTTTATGTATTTCAATTAATCTTAAGTTATCCAATTATTGTGTTAATAATTCGTTACATTATACAATTTCTTTAGGAACTGTTTTGGCGAACCGCATATTTGTATTTTGTTTTCAAGGACAATCTGTTTAATGATATCTGTAATATCAGTATATCTATTAATGTTCCGCCAAAACCTATAGTCCTTAAATTTATTTTCCTTATTTCTAAGGTAATCTGTATCAAGTTTTGTGTATGATACCAACACTTGTAATTGTCCTGCTTTAAATCGGGCACGTCTTAAAGTCATAGTCGTATCCACTGGAGCTCCCATAATTATATTTGATAATCGTTTAATTTGCTCCTCCTGCAGTGGGTATGATACAGCTAATCCAATATTGTTTTCTAAACATTCAATGTATTTTGTAAAGTCTATTGGTTCCACTTTAATGGTGTAAATAAATGTCTTTGAATCAAGCACGGGAAGTTTATTATCGCATTCGTCAATAAATTCAATAATTTTGGTGTTGTCATTAATCACGTTTAGTTCATTCTTACTTGTCTGTTCATTATCATTGGCCTTATTTATCAACTGTCTTAATTTCTGAATGTGTGTAACATTCTTTCGTTCATCTGTGGCTCTCATGAAACATGGTTTAAGTCTATTGTAATTAAATACATCACGTAATACTTTGCCTTTAAGTGTTGCTAGAATATAGTGTGTTCTGTCTAATACTTGATGTACAGCTAAAGGTCCAACCCATTCTGCTGATATTTTCTTTGAGTTGGCAGTCAAAGAAGATGATGTAGGCTTGTACAAATACACTAATTGTCCTACAGAATAAATTGGGCTCTTATACAGTCGTTGCGAAATTTTGGCATTCTGATTATCTTGGTCTGTTCGTTGCAGAAATTTCTTTTTGAGGTGTTCAAGATATTCCTCGTATGAGTGAGATAATCCTGACATGGGATTGAAGGTTAATTTTGTTAAATTCGGAGGTTGTCTTCCGAATACTAACTCATATGGTGAATGATCACCCAGATATGGTGATGAAAATGAGTTATATGCATAACATGTAGTTGATACGAATCTAACCCAATCTGTACTAAATTGATTAAGGTTCACCTTTAAAAGGTCGGACAATGTACGAATATGACGTTCGACTTGTAAACTACCGTAATTTTGTACACTTATGATTTTTCTGACGATGTTGAGAGTGTTACATAAGAGTGTTAACAGTTTGCCTGTTAGTGAACTAGCTGCGTCTGTAATAAGACGAGATGTGGGTCCAAATATGGTAATAACTTTCTGTATTAATGCTTCACAAATTGTTTCTGCATCAAGTGATTTTAAAGGTACACAGATTACAAATTGTGTAATTTCATCACTTACTACCATAATGTGTTTGAATCCCGATGATGAAGTTGGCATACTCTTAAAATCTAGACTGAGACTATCGAATGGTCGATAGGCATCAGGTACTCTGTCATGTAGTGGTCGAAGTTTGTCAGTTTTTGGTTTAAAATCTAAGGCAAGCTTTAACATAATTACTAATACGTTGAAACATATGAGGCATATAGAAAAGTCGACGGATTGTTAAGTAGGTTCGCATTGTACCTTGGTGGTTACTTAACAAATTATCATGGAATTGAGATATGATAGTTTCGGCAAGTGTTTCTGGTATTGCTAATTGTAATATGAAATCATCACCTTTGTTTTGTAGGAAAAAACGAAATAATAAACCGTTACAAAGTATGTACTGTTCTGATTTTGTTTGAATTGCTCTTGCTGCCTTCTTATCGGCTGGCAGAATATCATGAGCTAAATAATCGTAGACAGGTTTAAAGAATGGTGACGTTTCCTGTTCAATTTGTAATTGTTTAACATCAACTGGCAAATTATAATCTCTGATTATTTTTCTACGGATAACGTCCATCAATTTGTCTAATTGCTTTTGTTTCGGAATGTGTGTTGTTTTTAGTTCAGTAATAGTTGGAACCAATGGGCTTGGTGATGTGTACAATTCAATTGGTACATCTCTATAGGTTATATCATTATTTTCTTTATCCACATGTCTCTTCCCTAAGTACTACTGGTTGTTGTGTAGGTATAGATAGATAGATAG